ACATTGTTAAACCTAGAGGATGATTTGTTTAAAAAACAAGAAAAGCATTTTCAGTTGTATGGATTAATGTCAGAGTACTTGAGAAAAAGACATGGTGACAAAATGTTGCCATAGGATGGACTGGCCTTTCTGAGAATAATGCAGCATGGAAAAAACACAAATACAAGAGTACAAGGGAGCAGAGGGACAGATTTGTTAGCAGAGCAAACTTGCTAACAGAAAAAGAGGATCAGAATTATAAGCCATTCAAAACTACCAAGATCTGAAGTTTGCTGTGAAAAAGATTATTTACATATAATTTACACATGCCTATATGTAATTGTTATGTACCTCCAGAATAGAATACTACACACAGTGGTAGAAAAGGAAAATTACAGTAGCTACTCAATTATAGGTAGAAAGGAAGAAACCCAATGACATCTACAGAGTGCACATATTTTAAGAATAGTAGGGAATAAGCAATCTTCCAGGATGAAAGAATACATCATAGCCATTTTACATGTTCCAGTAATTCCACAAGGTCTTTATATTTAAACAGGATTACAGTGCAGGTTCTAGAACTATATGAATGTCTCTGTTCTGTTAAGAGTGAAAATGATATGCAGTTTTAAAAGCTTGCAAATGTTTGCTTTCCCACAATGCAAGTAAAAAGAAAACACAGTTATGCAGAAGTGTACTCTTTCATGTGCAGAAAGTGTTTGAGATCTTTGCAGATTAACATCAAAATACAAAAGGAGGTAACAAGTTAGTTTCAGGTATTTTAATATTAAGCGATGACACTTTGCTTCTACCTAAAATAATTCTGAGCAGCACTGATCCATCTCACATCACCAAGTTTCCATTTCATAAAGATCACAGTGAGGATTAGCTCAATAAAGCTAGAGATAGTTTTAGCCAATTTTCTCTGCAGAGCAATCATGAAACTTTACTGGATACAGTGAAAGTGTGCCAAGACTGCATTTGACCTCTTGAATTACAGGAAAGTTGCTGAGCATCCGTTTCTAAGGGGTGTAACTCTGCAACCAAGTAAGACAATAAATGAGGAAGAAAACATTTAAACAGTAGTAACATTTCCTTAGATAGGAGTGGGGAAAAACTTACCACTTCTGTCCCGTTCAGCCTGTTGCATTTATCTGGAGCAATTTATAAATATAGGGGAAACAGAGGATAAATTAAATAGCTTTCAATTAAACCATACCTGGGAAAAATCCAAGATATTTTGAAGGAAAGCAATGAAAACTACTGAAGATGGAAAAAGGGGAATTCTTTAGTTTAGAAGTCAAAGTTTGCTTCTAGGAACTGAAATAAAGTTGTAGTTTGATCTACTGTCATTAGAGCACATGCCATCCTTTCTTAAGAACAAAAAAGTCCAATTTATAAAATGTTGAAATGGAAAAACGACTGCAAGCTGACAATTTTGACAGAAGACAGAAATAAGAGTTCTTTCAGAACAGGGATATTTTTTATTGTCAAGGCCAAGAATTTCAATGCTGGACAGGAATACAGGATATACAATCCCTTTGTAGATTATGATTGTCCAAATGCTTCAAATCCCACCACAGTTTTGAGGTGAATAAACTGCATACTGGATAGCTTCTTCTACAATTTCAAATCAATTAGGTTTTTTATTGCCATGAGTATTTTTAGTTGATACACTGTTATGAAAGCTAGTCCGACCTACTACACAATACAAACTTTTGGTTACATTTGTTAGGCACCGCTTTATTGGCCTACAAAAACATAAAGATTAGTAAATAGTATGCAGATGTTGCTATGGTTATCTTGATTGAAGATATCTAGTTGTTTATCAGGACAAAAAAAAAGCCCTTTTATTGATTTATCCAAGTCCAGTTTGAAAACTGTTACATTCCTGGAAACTGTACATCTCTTGGACATTTTCCCTTTGTATCTGTGGAGCCAGAAAGGCACTTTCTAAGAGGAAGACCGAAGGATAAAAGTTCTTGTTATATACACTCAGTGTCTGAGGACAGGCTGTAATTGAAAGTGGATGCTGTATGCCCATTGATGTAGAGCAATATTACTTGGTAAGATTCAAATAAACGTTAACTACCTTCCACTAAAACCCAGTCACACAAGTAAGACCACATAGCAGACTGCTTACACGCACACGCAACAATGTAGATTCAGAGTTAAGACGAGAGACTGCATAGAGAGACTGAGGTGATAATCATCTAGCAACATTACTTTTGTCTGAAGCATACCTTCTGTACTTTAAGGATATCAAGAGACCACTTTCCGTGATAGTTCTGATTATAACTACTTCTCACTCAATTTCCTCCTCATTTCTGTCTTGCATTTGACTCGCTTCAACTCCCAGCCATTAATTCTTATTTCATTAATCTCAATTTCTCCGAGAGATAAAAATGTTTCTTAGACTAATAATTTTTCTTTGGCATTTTCACAGCACTGCTGACAAGACCTTTTACAGTCTATCAATCATAGGTTACAGCAAAACCAGCTCATCAATTGTATGCACCGGAAGTACCTGCTTAGCTGTGTTGAGGTCTGTAAGAGATCCAGGACTGAACAAGTAGTTTACTGTAATGGTTGCAACGTGTTGCCCGGCTGGACTTCCTAATCTGCAAAGGTAAATCCCTTCTCCTGGGGCTCCATGCTCAGCATGCCCCACTGCCATGCACCGCACTAATCCTATTTGAAACCCAAAAGGCTGGCAGAAGGGAGTATTCCTACATATCTTCTCTCCCCAGCTTTTGGAAAATCCACTTGGCCACACCTTGGTGGGAAACCTGGAGCAATTCACACACAGCTGTCTCCATTTGGTTTATTTCCTCATTCCAGCCACAGGCATGGTGACCCTTTTCCTAACCAATTTGTTGGAAACTTTGCAGAAAAGGAAAAGCACAATGGTTCTGCAGAGTCTATGCAGGCACTGTCTGAGGAGCCAGGAGCTAGTTTCTCAGAGACTGAAACTCTGACCACTGACAAAGGGAGCCTGGAAGCTGGCTGTCAGCATCCTACAAGAGGAAGACCTGTTAAGGGTGCAGATTGTGAATCTTCCAAAGAAAACATCAGTCAGCTTCTTTTTAGCACTTTATAAACATCAGTTCATCCTTAAACTTGGATTAATCTTCTTCTCCTCGTACCAATGCAATGCCCAGAACTCCCACTGAGAAAAAAGGAAAAACCTGGGTGTACAGTGAGAGGTCATTTAGATTGCAGGGATCTGGACAAGGACCTCTCTTACAAATAAGAGTTTAACAAGTATACAGCACAATAGGTATAAAACACTTGGCCCAGCCCCTTTACAAGGTAGAGCGGTTTCCTTGTCTTTGAAAAGAATACAAACCTGAACCAGAGACACACCTGACAAGAGAGGGAGAACAAGGGATAGCACTGACTGTCATCTGATTTCAAACAGATGAAAATATTGAGACACCTTCCAGGTAGATGAAACTGAAGGCTTTCAAAGGAAGAAGTGCCAAGTTTTCAAATTCTCTCATGGTTCCCATGGTGTCTTGTGTTATTTACTTCATCCACTAAAACTCTTAGAATTAAGTATCTGATAAAATTGAAATGTCAACTTTACAAATATGAAAGTGGGTTTGTAGCCATAAGGATTGCATAAAGGCTCAAAAATGTTCATGTCTTTCCTTTAAATTAAGGCAAAAGTTGAAAAACTTCTTTTAAAGAAAAAACGATTGCTAACAAAAATTTGAAATAACCTTAATAAGAGCACCTTTTTCTAACAAAATGCCTTTCTAAGCAATAGAATAACATGGCTATACTGGTGGGTTTTTTTTTCAAGTGAAAATACATTTCAGAACAGACAAATTACAGTTGTAGAAAACCGTACAAAGAAACTATCAATGCTTCCAACAATTTTAGTAAGTAAAAAAAATAAACAAAGATGTGAAAAAGGATACAAAGAGAAAGTTTACTGGCTTATGAAAAAATTTGCATATACAAATCTATCCCCAAGATAAAAATGTAAAAACATGTATGGAATTTGTGCAGATATGCTCTGGAAAGCATGTCTATTGAAACATTTTACCTGGCCTTATAAAGGATACTAATAATTTATACTTTGAATGAGAATTGATTTTGCTGTACTTAACTGTCTGAATGCCACATTCACAAACAACTGCTGCCTAGACAGGAGTCCTGTTACTTGCTAATGAAGAATAAAGTGGTTTGCCTTTAAACCCATGGATTGCTACTAAGATGACCCAGAAAAGGTATGCAGAGCGTACTGGCCTATAGCAACTCTAATGGAACACTAACATGAGTTTCATCCTGCACTTCTGTTTCTTTAAGGCTATGTATAAATTTGTTGCATCACCTCTAAGGAAGGGAATAAAAAACCAAACAAACAAAAAAACAAAACCAAAAACTGAACAACAAAACCCCAACACCCCTTTCCCCGCCCCTGACTATGGTTGCTTAAATAGGAAGTTATTTTGCATCTCTTGTTGGGTGACATTCCAGATAATTTCTGATGTACAGCAGAGCACTTGGAAATACAATACCAAAAGTCTTATTAAACTAATTTTTGACTTGCCAAAATTATTCAGTAGGATTAAGCACTCCACCAAACACCAGCCAGAAAGAACAGCAAAACTCTTTCTGGTATCATTAAGATGTCAACTATAAATAAAATCTGAAATTGTTAACAGCATTTCTGTGCAAACCTTTGACATGGTATTTAGAACTGCTTTCTCTGGTGGGCTTTGCATGTTGGCAAATACAGTATTTTCAAATAAAGTATTCATACTTAAGAGGCCAGGCTGTGTATTGTCTAATAAAAGCAGAATGTCAGCACAGGTTTTCTGAACTTACCTGATAACTTCATTACATTGATTTAAAATTGGATACCTATCAGTCACGTACAACATCCAAATAAGTGACAAAGTGATTAAGCAATCCCCAATAAGTGTACTGTTCTGAGAGTACATAAATAGTTTAAAATATGCATATTGATTTAAAAAATAGAAGATAGTCTCCACAAAGTGAAGGCATAGCTAGGTCTCTACATTCCAATTCATAACTTTATCATAGTCCTGAATTCGTTGTTTTATGTGAGAAAGCTTATTCTTTAGGTATTCACAACGCTCCTTTTTCTCCAGAAATGCAGGATCCTGCCAAAAATACAAAAACCTTTACATTAATACATTGCACTTTCAGACTCTTCCAAGAATAGTGTATTATCAATTATGTTCTTGACTAAGGACAACATATAAATATTCTCCAAAATCACACTCTTTTTTCCTGGGCCACAATTTCTTATTTCCTGCTTTCCTTTCCTTCATGAAAGCCTGGAAAAAGAGGTGCTGCTTTTATATGCCATAGTTATTTAGTAAACAGAGCAGTTTTTAAACAGAAATCTGCAAATTTAAATGATGTCCTACTACATAATTTAGATTTTATAGATGTATTGTGGTATGTCTAATAAATTATTATGTCTAATAAATCCTTCCCTCCAAAAAAGCAATTAAGTTTAACTAACATGGACAGAAAATTTTAATTCCATTTAAAAAAAAAAAAAGTTTCTTTGTAATGTGTTACGTTTGTAATGGAACACAGGTACACATTTATTGCCCGCATTTAAAAATGACAAAGTGAAACTTCCTGGATTACACTGAAAATTGCTGTTGGAGAGTCTAAGTCCCATGCCACAAGGAAAATATAAAGCTTCTTTTCAAGGGTAAGACTAAGTTTTCTGTTGTTAACTTATCGGTTGGCTGTGTCAGTCAGTGAATATAAATGAACTGAATCCCAAAAAATAACCAGTGTTCTGAATGCAGCAAGCTAAGAGATGAGACATACTCTCAGAAGATGAAAATTATGGGCTTTTTTTTCCCCCTACATCTAGCTAATGGAATCATTATTCTCAAAACAGGTTGTTGGCTTGAGTGGAGCGGGTTGTATCCTAACTTTGACAAAGTTTTAAAAGACAAAATATACAAAGCCCTGTAGTAGCTACAGATACCCTATGATAGCAAATTGTACCTAGTGTCAGACATGTTGGCTAATTACACCCTCTCTGCTGGATGCACTAGCAATGCAAAGCTGAAAACACTCACGTTTTTCTTCTTCTTGTATTCTTGCAGAACTTTTGATATCCTTTCCTGTTCCTAATGAGAGACACCACACATTTTTAAATACTTTGAGTGTGTTCCATACCTTCATGTATATCTACAAAATACTCATTGGAAGTAAAATTCTCACTTGATCAAAGTGTAACATTTTAGTTGTAGATCTTCTACTTGAGAAAAAGTGAAAATACATTAACTGTAACTCAGTCAAACTTGAAAGCTACTAGCATGAAAAAAACCCAACCAAACAAACCAGAAAAACACGTATACAACTTAATTGTAACTTGGTATCCTTAACTGATGACTAAACAAGAAACAACATATTTGGGGCAACTTTCTCTCCCACTAAGTCACTGCCAGCATTAGAAGACATTGTGCCCAAGCTAAAGTCAGCCAGAAATTGCCTAATACCACCCCTGTTTTCCATGAGCCCATTTCACAGGTACTTACATATATGTTTTCAGGATGGTGAGGAAGCTGTCTCAGCAATGCATCCAGTTCATCAAACTTTTTTAATACAGCATGAACTTCCACAGACAGTTCTTTATACTCAGCAAACTGATCATTGAATACTGCTTTGTACCGGTCTCTCATTTCATTTGTTTGAATTGCTGGGTATTTCCTTTAAAAAAAAGTTTTCAAGGACTAGTTTGAGAGATAGGACTTCAACAAACTCATGGACCCTTCACCTTGACAGTGTGTTTCTGTAATGTTTCCTAATCTCATAACTTGCTGAAATTTGCATGTATGTGAAGCACTGAAATCACAGAATCACAGAATGACAGAATGGTTGAGGTTGGAAGGGACATCCGGAGGTTATCTGGTCCAACCCCACTGCTCAAGCAGGGCCACCTAGAACTGGTTGTCCAGGACTCTGTCCAGACAGCTTTTCAATATCTACAGGGATGGAGGCTCCATAGTCTCTCTGGGGAACCTGTGCTAACCCCCACAGTGAAAAAGATCTTCCCAATATTCAGGTGGAACCTCCTGTGTTTCAGTTTGTGCCCTAGTCTAGGGCAAACAGTATAAAAATTAATTTATGGTCTCATAATTCACCATGGAAAGGCCTACACTTTAAAAGGGAGCATGTTATAAATTTAGCACTTAGAAAGTATAAGAATAGTCAAATTTCAGGGGCTAAAAAGACAAGTAATTTCCTAGGTATTTTATTTTTTTTCTAAATTGTCTGCATGATGGTCTTCTCTTCCTTCGGCAGTTATCGGCCTTGCTAGATTGTAATACTCTGCTTTAACATTTGAGGTTTGAGTGGATTTTTTTAAGTGTAAGATTATTTATATTACTGGTTCTATGTCATTGACCAGCCCCCATCCCCTCTATTTTAAACACTAACTTAATAAAGAGTTATGAGTTCCTATAGCACATGCATGGCAGAGAAACCATGAGCGTATATAGGTGAAACACATCATTCAACTGTTCTCCCTTAAGTTTGCTCATCAAAGTCAAGTCACTTACGCTAAGTAGTCTGGCATCACTATAGGTTTAGGAATGTGGCCTGCGGGTATATGACCATTAAGTAGTTCTGGTTTTCCTTCCACTGATTTAAGCTGCCTGTAAGCGACCTCTTCTCTGGGTCTGTCATCACTTTCATACTGCTTTAAAAGAAAAACAAAATAGTTCTTAATTAAGTCAGTTTTACTTCAACTGAATGTACATAAACCACAAAATACCCAACTCATTTGAAGACAGAGGTACAAGTATTGAGCAGCAGTAGAAGCAAATCACAGATATTTCTTACAACCCTTACTGTAATTAGAAAATTACTGTAGAGTTACGTTGTTTCTCACACAGTATCCATCTACTCTTTGTCCTAACAGTGCTAACAGTGACAGATAAACACTTGTTGGGGCTTGGGAAGATTTGTCCCATACGTCTTTAAAAAAAAAAAAAAAAATCATTTAAGGAAGTTTCCTTGGATATCCATCTAATTTGTGGATGAACAAGAATCACTCAGTTCTCTGGAGTTCCCTTTTCCCCTTCTTTCCTCTTGCACAATTTATCCCTCAATCCAGAAATAAAAGCACTTGGGAGTCTTGTTGGAACACATAAAAAAGGATCCTGAGCCAGTACTGAAGCAACAGAAAAAACAGTGGCAGGAAATTTACAGTATCTAAAAAGAGACATTTAAGACTGAAATAAATACACCATAAATTCTCTGGGAATCATCAATATCTGCTGTTAAGATCCTATACAATTTGTACAGTGTATGCAACCGCATTTTTGTGAGGCAGAAGTACTGACATTGCTAATACTTCAAAACTGGCTAGATCTTTGGAGCAGTCTCAGAGACACAGGAACAAGCTCAACTCATAGAGCACCCACCACTATGTTTCCACTGGCTCTCGTCCAAATTAAGCATACAGCCAGGAGGAAAGAGAGTCTCTAAAACCTACAACACATCAGATGACCTGCTGTTGTAGCCATGTCTGCCAAACTCTGTGACCAATGCTACAGAACTTGTCCCTTCATAAAAGAGGGTAAGTGCACATATACAGGCAGTCATCAGAATCGCTATTTACAGTACATTCTATAACCTAGCCTAACTAGCAGTAACTTCTTTACCAGCTTATTCCAAATCTTCTGGGTTGTCCAGAATGTTGTCCAGACTACGTAAAAGAATTAAATCTCATCTTTTCCAAGTCAAATAAGCAAATAAATAGAAAGGTGAATCAAAGGAGTCACAAGAAAAAGAATAACCATTTGGAAATACCAGTCAACAGAAAAATAAATTCCTATTTCATACCTTCTTTTCTGGAAAGGAGGACTGTGTTTTCATCTATCAAAAAATGGAAAGAACTGTGTTTTATTTTCAGCAAAAATAGTATACAAAAGCACAGACTCTTAAAGTCTAAACTTTTTCAAAATCATGCTGTATAGAGAATTACATTTATATCTAGATATGAAGAAATGCAGCATAAGGAACATTTTCACACTGACTTAAAGACTGTTTAAGAATGGTGGAATGAAAGTAACCAGCCAAAACCCAGAACAACAGGATCTCCCAGAGCACAGCTGTAAGGAACAGCTTGCAGGAAATACTCCGTCCACTTCCCAGTCTTGTTTATTATTTCACATTCCAGTCCATATTAACTCACTGTCACTCTGCAACCTAATTTATTGCCTAGAAAACACAGCAGTGCACTAACTGGTAGCTCAACCAGCATCTGTTTTGCACAGCACTCTCCAGAGCCTAACCTATATTACAAAAGTATTCCCTTCAGAATATTAAGTACTTGGAATAAAAGAATATGGATAGTAACAGGGAAGAGTGATTGAACTCCCTCTGTATAATTCCAGCAATCACCTCATTCTTGCAGGACATGTTAAAAGTTGGTTAAAAAACTTTTATCAAAGAGCTGCAAACTACTTTTCAAAAGGGGAGTCTCAGTTTCATGCAAGATGGCGGAATGGAAACCAGCATTAAATGAATATGCTGCAAATCAGACTACAGTCACAGAGGAAAGTAATTGCAACTTCAAACTTGCTGTGTCCTACTAAAATCACTTAAATGCTGACCCCTCCTTAAGTTAGGCTTATGTAGGCTTCACATATGTTAATTTTTATCTCTATTAAATTTTATTTTTTAAAGGTGTTTTGGTGGCGTTTTCATGTAAACAAGGTTTTCAAGTCGTCCAGGTGAGAGTGGTAAGTCTCTACTATTACAGTTTATCATTAACCAGATAGGTATTGAATGCTTCTAGTAAGTGCAAGGCCAGCAGCAATGCAAATACTTGATGTGAAAAGAATGAAGTTGACTGAAATCTGAAGCACCAAAATCTAGCCAACTCTGTTATTACTATTATTTTCTGATAACTATTGTAAGGAAAGCCGAAAAGACAAAGAAGTAGCTTAAAGTTTTGCTTGCAAAACAAAAATAAGAATTTCATGTTCTTATGGTCATTCACACTACCACTTAACGTGCTGAAAATGCAGTCTTCAAATAAATGTTAGTTGGCTTTAAGCCTAACCCTACTGAACAGTTGAACAAGCACATTGTTCATTTCTTCCTTCGTTTGAAAATACACATCAGGAAGTAGTTCATCAGCTGATGCAGGAGGAGAGCTGGGTATTACAAAGAGAACAGAGCCAGCTGCTTAGCAAAGTGAATATAAAATAAACAAATAAATAAAAGTACTCCAAGAATTTGGATCAGTCATCTTAAAAACGCCTTTCATTTCATGATCTCAAGTACTGTTAAGCCTGCTGAAAGTTCACCCTCAAAGGCTACGTACCTGCTGCAGAAACGACACCTGATACGACTCTTTCTACGGCATGGAAAGATCTTACAACTGCTCCCCATCACACCACACCCAGTAGATACGAAATGATACTAATGACTTACCTCCTGTTCCATTAATTCTCTGTGCCTCCTAGCTCCTTCATGCCTCCATAACTTTAGAGAAACCACTGCACTGATTAGATAGATGATCACCGTGACAAACAAGAAGATGATTGCCGCTGTCTGACCTCCCTCTACACGGCAAAAGGATGCATTTATCGGCGTCTTAAACAACTGGTAATAGCAGAGCCCACCTCGGTTCGTATCGTTTACATACACTATGGCAGCCGACATGTACAGAAAGAACAAGGCCACATTAATTCCGAACTCAGTCAGAGGCCACCAGTTGGAGTCGAGGAGAATAGTCCGGTAGTACATCGACATGCCCAGCACCAGGAGCACGATTGTGACTATCCACGCCATCCCCGCCACCACCAGGATGAAAGGCGTTTTGGGTCCACTGTAGGAGTAGCCTCCGTAGGCGCTGCTGGCCCCGTAGCCGTAGGGCTGCGAGTACCCGAACATGTTGTACCACTCGTTATCCTTGTGCACGTAGGCCGTGACGCAGGCGAAGACGGCGGCGCCCAGCAGCAGCTCCGCCACGCAGAGGATCCTGAGCAGGCCGGCCCAGGACTTCATGTAGGCGTACCGCTGGTGGTAGGCCTCCACGCGCTCGCTGTACGTCTGGCCGGTGGCAGCGCGGCGCCCCACCGACCCGAAGGGGTCCCCGGGCAGCATGGCTTCGGCCTCCTTCCGCGAGTTGTAGCTGCCGCCCGATCCTCCG